TCATGCTCTGTCGAAACCTGATTCTGGAGAAATGTAAGTCCCTCCCTTCCTCGTCTCCCACCTCTGCTTGTTTGGTAAAGTTACGCCACTAGAACAGTTTTTTCGTATCCCCATCGATTAAATTTAGAACATTTTTTAGGATGAAACTTAAGGGGATAGAATGTGCCTGACGAAAACGTCTGCTAATCTAAATCAAAATAATAGCATCCTCAATATCATGCCTGGTGTGAAGCAACGCTCAAGTAGAGCCAAATTCTTGTGCATATCGAATTACATAGATTATGCTATTTTATAAGACGTTTTTTTTTAGGCATTTTTTAAGACATCAATTTTATTTGATAGACAATCTATTTCATAATATGGCATTACATATTCCACGTTCAACTACGCCCACAGTGTTAGAAAACGATAAAAAAGCTGTACAGACATTAATATTAAAATTAAAAACAGACGCTGAGGAACAATTTAAAGAAGGTGCAGAGAAATGTCAACGAGATTTAAAAAATGGTGATGTTAGTGAGGACGAAGTTGATGAATTTGTTACAAAAGTCTTTGAAAACTTAAATAAAACATTTTTAAGTTATTCTGATGACTTACAACAGTCTGTTAAAGCTAAAGCACCAAAAAAACCGAAGAAAGAAGAATTTAATGATCAACAAACCTATAGAGCTGCAATGGAAAAATATGAACAGGAAAAACAACAATATATCGAATTTGTGGGATGGGTTGGTGCTATTATATCACGCTTAATGATGTGGTTAAAAGACCTATTTGTGTCTATAAAAGAATTTTTTAGAAAATTATGGAATTGGATTAAAGAAGCATTTCAAAATATAGCACAAAAAGTTAAAGATTTCTTCGAATTTGTTGGCCAAAGATTTAGTACTCTTGCAGCATGGTTATTTGAATAAGTAATATTAAGAAAATATTTTGACTTTTGTTTTCACATTTACATTTGTTGCTACAGGTCTATTATAGCTTATTGCAGCTTTTTCCTTGTCATATAACAAAACAATAGTCAAAATACTTGTTGGGTTTTATCCTATCTGTATTGATTTTAGTCTAACATTCTGGAAGAAAAAAAGAATTTCTTCATGTCGTTTTCTTGCAGTTTTATGTCAGACTATGTACACTGCGTTTTCTCGTTTCTGTTTTGATTCAGAACATATATGAGTACTATACAGCCACTCTACAATAATAATTATCCATTGTAAACGCTTTTTCTTTCTTCAGCAAAAATAAAGTGTGATCTGGTGCTCCTGAAGCAAAATATTACATCAAGCAGTACAGTGTCATCACTTACTTTGCTGTCGACTATTACAAGTTGCTAACCCCGAGTTCTCTAGTGAAGTGAGACAAGAAACTCTCTCAGCAAATGCTATTGAACAAAATGCCAATATAATATATATATTTAAAAGAATAATAAAATTACATAAGCGAGAATAACATGAAATAAGAAGACCACTAATCGATCTGTTCACTAATTGACGAACTCTATGTACACTCGAACTAACAACTAAAACTAAAAACACTAACTGAGTGATGTATGTGTGCTCGTTTTGATAAGGCAGCGATAAAATGATTTTGAAGAACTAGCCAATCTGTAGTGCTGGATATTTCATTTTAAGACTATAGCTACTACTGTTTAATTAACTATATAGAACATACTGTTGATGACGTAGAAAATGAGCATGTTGTTAAATCAAAAACTTTTGATATAGGTGGAACTAGAACGTGGCCAAACCTTCTT